GTTACATGTTATAATCTCCCCTTGGTTACATTTTTAAAATGAAAGCATATCAGGTTACATGTTATAAGCAGCAGAGATATCAAATTCTGGTGACCGAAGTATAAGCTTCTTGGTTGATCTAAATAGTGATCTGAACGTAACGCAGTAGGTGAGATCTGCATCTGTTACATTGGAGTGTCTTTGAAAAATCATGATGATTCAGAAAATAAATATTGCAGTAAAGGAGCAACCACTGCTATGCTCAAACTGTTCCCCAGCAATGCATAACTGCAGCATAAAAGAAACGGACGACAAAGTACAAACATAAGCCGTGCTTAACAACCACTGTTATGCTTAACTGTAGTATGCCAATTCACATGCCGAATAAATTTCATCAAATAAAAGGCACAGTATTGTTTATTTTCTACTAATTCACATGAAGCTGAAGCATTAGATAAAATAATGACATACCGTTGCCGAAGGCTTATTTGCTGTGGAAACTGAAAATCTTCTGGGAGAGAATGCAAATTAGCAACCTAAGTCGGTTAAAGAAAAATTATAAATTAACAGACATTAAAAACATGAAACCAAGAATAGAGGAGAAAACTAAAGAAGCTATGTAAAAGAAATCAGCATACCTCCCTAGGAGTAAAGTATCTAAGGCACTGCTCCTTCAGTGAAGATGCTTTATCCTCGTTATTTGGCTGCATATATATCACAATTTTGTAAATGTCAAGCAACAAAAAATTCATTGGATATTGAGTCATGGTATGACCAGGAATTGAACTGTGGAGCACAAGAACTTGAGATGGTGGTCCAATCTAATAAGTGCACCTGAGTGCTTAAGTATCAACAATCTAACATGTGATTTATACTAATCAAATGTGTCATCTTTTTATATTTGACTCAAAATCCCAAATTTCATGCTGTGAATGTAACTTTTTTCATGTCTAAATTGATACTTTACCTGCAGAGTTGCTAAAAGGGAGCCTGTACCCTTCACATATCGATAATAACTTTTTGTAAAACAACAGCATCGCTTTGAATCAGGATAGACAATATCTGAGTCGTGTTAAGGATCCTCAGAGAGAGAGAGAGAGAGAGAGAGAGAGAGAGAGAGAG